GAAAGGTTGCACTCCCTTCCCAGGTATGTGCCCTGTTTCCTCTTGTCTACGTTTCTTTCTGCAAACAAGGAAAGAGGCTGCCTGAGTCATTTTTCTTAGAGTACAGTGTTTATTTTTCTTACTTATAACTAACACTATAACTCGGGATCACAGACTCTATGTTACTGAACTCGGTGCCCGAGCTTCATCCCCTCAGGTTTTAGATCATCTGTAACCTGTTTATCTGTTCATGTTGTTGTTGTTGTTACTGTGCTTATGATCATCACCATTTGATTTATAAAGATTGACTATTAAGCATACGGTTTAGGGTGTAGAATTATATCAAAAGTATAATTAAATGAAAATTCAAGACGACACGGCGTACCAAATAAATAGAGGATGCTGGCTCATCAATTTCTTGCTTGAACTTAATAAGAAATCATGACAATAAAATTATTAACATAAGGAAAAAATAGTATCATGTAACAAACAACTAGTCATTGGCTGAAAGAGGATGAGTAGGACTTATTCCATGAAGATGCAGCCAAGTTTGACAAAGATGTTTAGGAATTATTACATCAAGTCAGTTCTTCCTCTAATACCAGACACAACAAGCAGCCAATATACTTTTCAATATCAATCAATGAATTGCAGCAGCCAGCTGTGCTGAGAACTACAAGCTTATGTTCCAAACAAATGGAAAAAGACAAACTTATTATTCATTGGCTTATCTAAATATTATCTGCTTTGCATGGTCTCTATATATATTACATACTCAAGCCCCAATGAGTTTCAAGGAGACAGTCAAGCAATATAAAGCTTCCATAGCCACAAGCTATTGAGTGTCTTTGTGCGTCTGTGTGTGCCAGCTTATCAGTGAGACAGAAGAGGAAGAGGGAAGGGGGGGGAGAGATGGAAAAGAAAGCAGAGAGTGGTCAACTGTTGGTCTTAGTTCCATGCCCGTACCAAGGCCACATAAACCCAATGCTTAAGCTGGGTACCTTCCTTCACTCAAAGGGCTTTTCCATTTCAATTGTTCACACCCATTTCAACTCTCCAAACCCTTCAAACCACCCCGAATTCACCTTCTTTCCAATACCAGATGGCTTAACTGCTGATCAGATTTCATCTGGGA